GAATTTGCTAGCATTTAGTTGAGTATTTTTGCATCTGTGTTCATTAATAGTAGTATCCTATGTTTTTTCTTGGAATGTTTTTGTGTGAATTGTAGATATTGCTAAGCATACTTGTATAGATCAAGGTGATTTGATTTCAGATATATGAACTTGTAGACACTATGACTTGAGCTGTGTGGTTTTTGTGTGTCCTTTGGGGATAAGGGTGGAAGCAAATAGTTGGAAGTGTGATGAAACCAGACTTGAAGTGAATGTGCAAGATAAAGGTTGACTAATCAGTATTTTCTGTAAACTTCAATTTTAATGAAATAAAAGTACTATAGTAAAATAGTAAAGATAGAAGGACTTTATTGATGGGTAACCTTCTGTTGCAGAGACAGCAATAAAATATACTAAGGAAGGAAGAATTATCAAAGAATAACATGAAAAAGTTTGCTAAAGATTGCACTTGTAACATAGTAGGGGCTATAAAGAAAGAATAGAGAGGAAATTTCCCTTGGATTTCTAAGTTTGTGCTGTTAGTTTGCTTTTCACTCTACCTCTGCTCACTGATGTACATCCACACTTTGAGAAGGTTCATCTTTTTCTTCACAAAGAGAGGTCTGTTTTGAGCATTTCCCCATGCGATTCTCCTTACTTAGATTTCCTTCTGTTTTCTATTTAGATTGTTTTCAGTTGTGGGCTGCCCTGGTGGTGCAGGGGCTAAGTCACAACACCATCAAGCTATCCTCAGCCACTGCAGCATGAGTTCAATTCCTAGCCAGAGAGCTAACCCACAAACCCACATGGTGCAATAGACCTCTCCTGGAGTCTCATAAGCTGCTTTTCTCAGCAGTGTATTTCAGTAGATACTCCTGTTCCCACTCTGGTGAACCCTCTCATACTCCCACCCCACATGTCTGACCTATACCCCAGTTATTCTACTATACAAAAATATAAAGAAAATTTTGTGTTTATATGTAGTGAAATACTATGCCATTACATTAAAAATACATGAAATTTTGCCATTTGCAACAACAAACTTGGAAATGGAAGGAGAGTATGCTAAATGAAGTAAATCAGAAGGAGAAAGACAAATAAATGCTGGATGAGTTTGCTCATATGTGGAACAAAGGAAATGACAACACTGAAACAAAACCAACCCTAGAAATAACTGCTTGCTTAATTGCAACTACTAACGGTGTGATAGGTAGCAAAGCTGGGAGAGGTCCCGGTGGAATACGATGGAGGAATATGGAGGTGCTTTGGTGGTGAGGATGGTACAGTACTTACATCTGAAGAGCTGTGACCTTATACCCCTAAGTCATATGTTACCTCTATAAAAATAATACAAATGTTTGGTAAAAATAATTTTTTTGGGAGAAATATTGGGATAGTGCTGTTGTCACATTGGTTCATAAACAGCCTTTTCCTAGGCTGGGAAAGATAGGGTAGTATCAGTACAGACATAATCATCAGCCTCCCGGGGGGAAAAATGCTTTGCTCAGTTGCTATACTAGGAAAAAAATTGTTGTTTGTATTTTAAGGAGATAGAAAAATCATATAAAGCAACTGCTTATTTCTAGGCTACCTTCTACTATAAGGTGAGTTTCCACCTTGAGAGTAGATTTTGGTATGTTCGCAAATACATTGATATGAATATTAGTTAGCACATTTTAGAATTAATGGAATCCTTAGTAAATGAGACTAAAAGTATACCTGTTACAAAAATTCTTGCTTGTGAAATAAGGCAGTGGTCTCTTAGAACTTCTTTTTTAAAACTTTCTTTAAATATAAATACATTTATGTATTCTAATGAGTCATGTATAATTCATAAATATTCATGTATTGAGGGACTGTTCTTTTTGAGGTAAAAACCTTGAGTATGAATCTAAGAGGTATGTGTTTATAACATTGTTTTCAAACATTCATTTATGCATACAGGAGCTGGGGTGTAGGCCAGAGATGTGCCTGATGAGAGGATTCACTAGAGACAGTGGGGAGCAGAACAGGCAGAAGTACTGAAAAACTGCTGAGGAATAGAGGTCTGCTGTGCCATATGGGTCACCTCCCTGGCTGGGGATTGAATTTGTGCTGCAATGGCTGCAGACAGCTTCATAGTGCTGCATCTTAACCCTTTGCACCACCAGGAAGGCCCCTAAAAATTATTTTAAATTTGTTTTATGATGTACCAGAACTCATATTTCTTTTCCCTGTTTTTTTAAAATTTAAAAACAGTACCCCCAAGAATGTTTGAATATTAATACGTATTTTTCACTAAGTTACTTGTTTTCATTGAATATAATATTTGTTCTAGAAGAGTATGTATTATACATATCTAATAGCAGGGTAAAAATACATTATGTGGTGGTCTCTATAAGTTAGCTTATTAATACATCAATAGTATACATTATATAGTATACTAATATGCATTGATAAAATGCTAGTCTATGAATATATTAGTATTAGTGTGAGACGTATAAAAGAAAGCCTTTTTTACTGTGGAGCTTGCTGATCTCACTGCTAATCTAATCTGTGTGATCCCAGAGATCACACTATGAAACTACTTTATCATTATATCAAATTTTCATACCATAGTGAAATAATGTGTGTTGAAAATTCTGTATTTCTAACAAAAATTGTATTTGCTTTAAAGCACCATCTATAATCCTGAATGATGGTGAGAGAAGACTCTTACTGTGAAGCAGGGTTCATTCTGGGCAGGAGTTTATTCATTCTCTGAGTAGAATTTAAATCTGAGACTCTTTGTGTAAGCTTTTGCATCACCCATTGTATGCCTTGGCAGTGCATAATATAGAGTTTGAATTTTAATTATGTATTTAAAAATACCTATCCAGGTTTCACTCATAGCAGGAGTATAATGGACCAGGCAAGAAAATAATAATAATAATGAACAGCTGTATACCAGAGACATTTTATGGCGGTGGAGTGGGGAATGGGATTAAAAACAGTGGACTATGGTGATGGCACAGAGTAATTTGGTGTTGGGAAACCCATGGAGATTGCACCTGAGATGGAAAAATGCACAAAATGATGGGAAAATAAACTAGTATGTTAAAAAAATGTATATCTGTCCATACACTTGTTCAAATATGTTTACAGATATCTAGGGAAAGAATCTAAAAGATTACATACCAAATTAATGTGTTTATCTAGGGACAGAAATAAGACTGGGATTTACGGTTGTGATCATACTTGTGAGTATTTTATAAAGGGGGATGTAGTCATGTGCTGTTTAAAGAATCCAGAAATAATGTAGTTGGCAACAACCACAGGGCCAGGCTAAGTAATGGCCAGTTGGTGAGCAGGCAGCCCCAGATGAATGCAGCTCTTCTGAGTCCTAGGGCCTGAGGAACATCATTGGAAAACTGCAAAATCCTTTTGAAGTTTCTACACACGATGTTCCTAAGCACTAAATTTTCACTACAATATGATAGTAGAGAGTAGAATGTGAGGCAAGGGTTCTTCATAGAGGAAATCAATAAAGCAAGCAATGTTTTATTTTTATTAGAATTTGTAAGATTTCACATGATTCTGAAGTGTATATATAATCTGGGTTAACATGGTTAGTTGACTGTGCCCTACTAGAAAATTTGTCACATATTTGATATTTTCCTGTACAGAGAAGACCAATAATTGTGGATTTAACATATATGTGTTGACATCAAAGGCTGTAGGTAGTAAATGAATAAGTTTATTCATTTCCATGTTAATTTTCATTGTCCTCAAATTTAAACCTGGCAGTTTAGTATATAAAATTTATAAGAAATTGCATGTGATTTTTAGTGTTTTCTTCAATTTTTTTCTTAAAAAAAATTGTAATAGCTTCCAAGAAACCAGGGTACAGGCCAGAGGTGCAGGGGGTGAGAGGATTCACCAGAGACAGAGTGGGGAGCAGAACAGGCCAACAGAGGAAGTACACTGCTGAGGGGAGCAGCGGGCAGGTCAGGAGAGGTCTGCTGCGCCATGTGGGTCACCTCCTGGGCGGGGATGAAATGCATGCTAAAGTGGCTTTAACTTCTTAGTTCTGTGCTTTAACTTGCTGCACCACCAGGGAGGGCCTGTAATAGTTTTTTAAATGCCTGGATTGAATATATGAATTGAATATATAAACACTTGAAAGAATTAAAGAAATGATGAAAAAAATGGGAAGACTCATGGAAAAAGTGGCCCTATTTTGCTCAGACTTTTTGAACTATCTGCTTTGTTTCAAATGCTTTCTATGTTTCACTCTATGATGTCAAAGGTAGAGTACATATATTAGAAAGGATTAAGAATGTGAAGTGCTAAGATGATCTCAAAGAAGTTCTGAATAATGTGGAGAAGCTATAACAGAAAATAGATGTTACTGTATGAATACTGGGATGAACTTGGATGCTTTATGCACATGCATTCTTGTTTAATTTTATTCAGGTACTGCGTATTCAAAGGAGACTGTCCTTTTTTGGACAAGCCAAGGATAGTCTTTTAGCCAAATTTATTTTTCTAAAATTCATGCTCAGTTATCAATTTTTAAGAGTTATGTAGTTGGTTTAATTAAATGTTGTATCTGAGAAAGTGATATTAATTATATTTGAAAAATATGTAAATTAATGGTCATACTCAATTCTACTGAAATTAACTAGAATAACTTTCTTGTGTATTTTTAATGATTGGTGCTCCTAACAATGTTCATGACTGGGGAAAGTCAGTCATCTGAAATATTGCATCTAATTTGAAATGATAGGGGATTTGGAAAAGAATATGAGGCATACTACATACAGAGTACTGACTGAAAACATACTAGCTAAAATAAGTCTAAGATTTTGAGTCTCTTATTTTTTTTTTTTTTTTTTGCCAGTAAATGCTTCTGAAATTGGGTGGCTCGGGGTTTCTCTCTATTTCCTGAAAGAAATTCCTCTGGCATATAATGATAACCTACTTGATTTGTAACATTGTTGATTACGTGAATTTGTTCCTATTTTTACAGTGTTTTAAAACAACTTGTCTTATTTTTCCAGGGAGTTGGTCTCTCCGTTCATGGTCAATTCCGAGTGGCTACTGAAAAGTCTCTTTTTGCAATGCCAGAAACAGCAATAGGTAAAAAACAAACCAAAAATTTGCAGTTACTTTTAGAAACATCTTACTTTGATACATTTTAGATAAACTGTTGTTGAAGAAATTAATGAAATCTTGTGTGAGATACAGCAATGAAAAAAGAAATGGATTATTAAGAAGATACCTAACAGTTTACAGTTGTGTGTTTGTATCCAAAACAACAAAAGTAAGAGTACTTACCTGGAGACATTAACACACTAAATTTAATTTTAGGTAAAAGATCTTAAAAGGAAAATAACCTTACATTTAAATCTGTGATCCATCTTGAATTTTATATATGGAGTAAAGTCTGAATCAAAGGTATAGGTGCTAAAAGATACTGCTATTTACAGTAATGCACCACTAATTCCTTTTACTCTAGGAACTTTTTGTAAATTAGAATTGGAAAGAATTTGAATGCTTTGTATTTATCGCAACTTATTAAATGATGCAATCTTCAGACTATGGGACATAAAACTAGCGGGTCACAGTTGCTTAGGGAGCTCGTAAACACCAAAAGGAGAATGCTGGCAAGTATTCGCATACATGGCTCTTTTCATTTGTTACCAGTATGGAGAATAAGGGAATTTGAAAAATACTATATTTAGGAAAGAGTTGTGAAAATGATTGTATTAAGTATAAATGTGTTCAATTGTCAAACTAATAGTTATTGTGTTAGTCTTTAAGTGTTTTGAGTATCAAATGACTATTTAAAAAATGATTTAAATGATGACTTTTCTCAGTTCTATTCTCAGTACTAGCCTTAGATTATGTATATTTTTTCCTATGTTTATCATTTAGAAAGAAAATTACTAGATTTTTGTTTCAGAGAGGTATTTAAATTAGTTTTCAGAAGATTTTTATTTTTGTGTAGAACTGGAGTGTAAGCTAGAGGTGGGTGGTAAAAGGATTTACGAGATACACTGGGGAACAGAGCAGGTGGGTTTTCTGAAATACTCTACTTAGGGGAGCAGTGGGTGAGACAGGAGCAGTCTGCTGCACCATGTATGGGTTAGCTACCTGGCAGGGGTCGCAGTGGTTGTGATACCACTGAGACTTGAACCCTAGGCTACCAGGGAGGTCCCATTTCAGATTCTTAAACAATAAATAAGTGTTGATAAAATTTAGGTAATGATTATTTCTAACATAGAAAACATTTGTCATCAAATACTTTATTGGCTTCTATAGAAATGTCATGAAAATTTAAAAAATTATCCAAATTAAGTTAACACAATAATTTATAGCATGCATTGTGTGATATTGTTTGCATTGTATAACTTAGTTATGTTTTTAATATAGACTCAAATTCCATAGAGAAGTGACTTTCTGAACTAAAGGGAAAAAATTTTATATTCATCTCTTTCATTGAATCATTACTATCTTTGTTATTTAATTACAGGATTATTCCCTGATGTGGGAGGAGGTTATTTCTTGCCACGGCTTCAAGGAAAACTTGGTTACTTCCTTGCATTAACAGGATTCAGGCTGAAAGGAAGAGATGTGTATAGAGCAGGAATTGCTACACACTTTGTTGATTCTGAAAAGGTAATACTTGGATGATGGGTGATTGAGTTTTGTAATATTGGTGTAATTCACATTGCACAAAGATCAGTTGTTGAGATCAGACTTTTGATAGACAAGTATTCTATATGTAAAAATAGTTTACAAAAAGAGGTCTCTCCCTGGTGGTGCAATAGGTTAAAGCACAGCATTATGAAGCGATCCACAGCCACTGTAGCACCAGTTCAATCCCTGGCCAGGGAGGTGACTCACATGGTGCAGACCTCTCCTGTCTCACCCACTGGTCCCCTTCAGCAGTGTATTTCAGTAATCTGCTTGGTCTGTTTTCTACTGTCTCTGGTGAATCCTCTCACTCCCCATAACTCTGGCCCGTGTGCTAGTTCTTATATGCATAAATAAATGCCAAAGGGATTGAGCATGTTTATAAGAAAGGACTGGAAGTCTTCTCACAGATGTTGTAGTTCACCTGAGCCTAAAGATAAAAGTATTTCAGAGAGAGGAAATACTTAATTTTGTGTGAAACAGGGACAGGAAGACATTAGCTGTTTTGAACAGTTAAGAAGTCCCATTTGGCTGAGCATAGGGATGGATGTATATGTAGGCTATAGATGGAAAGTTAAGTGTGCTATTGTAGAACTGTGCAGTAACTATTGTGGCCGTTAGTCACATAGCAATTTTAATTAAAATGAACTAAAATGCAATTTATAATTCAGACCTTTGGTTGCAGCACATCATTTCAAGTGCTTAGTAGCCAGATAGAAACAAAGAGGATAATGTCTATTTCTTCTTTTTTTTTCATCTTTATCCATCCCTTCTTTACAAGGCAGTAGTATTTGCTGTGTGGGAATGTGTGTACATTAAAGTGAAAATTTCCCTCACTGACTCAGTTGGAGAGAAGCATCATAATTTTAAGGAAATGCTTAAAAAATTTTTAGATTCCTAAAACAATATTTATGTATTTCTATGAGGCTTCAAATTTGTTTTCCTTTTTTCTTTTAGTTGGGCACGTTAGAGGAAGATTTGTTAGCCCTGAAATCTCCTTCAAAAGAAAATATTGCAGATGTCTTAGAAAGTTACCACACCAAGGTATTGTTTTCAATATCCTAAATTCTTATTTTAATTCATAGAGAAGGGGAAGCAGTTGGAAAATTAGCAGTTGAACAATATTATATTGTATAGCTATAAGTAAATTTATAGTGATTTATTTACTTTAAAGTTTGATGAGAGTATTAGTACTTCACAGATGTTACAACAGCCATCTAAGAAGATGCCTTTCTTTACTGTGCAGCTGCACCATTGTGTTCTTACTGCTGATGAATTTCAGGGCATAACCTTGTGATTGATTCTTTCAAAGAATTTTTATAACACTGACATTTCATAATGGAAGTTTATTGTTGGTGCTGTTTGTAGAGCTGTTAAAGTGAAACTGGTATATATCAAAATATAGTAATAAAATACGTTGTGCTTATTTTTAAGTCCTTATTTATGTATCTAACTTAATTTATTTTTGTAAAAGCCAAGAATCTAAAAAATGATCCATAACTTATATAATAGTTTGGATTGAATACATGCTATCTCCTAAAACCGCACTAAAATTATAGAAAAGGAATAAAAAAAACCATGAATCCATAAAGACAAATAGGACAAGAAAGAAGACAATGGTAGGTAGGAGATTTCAGTATTTTTGTAAACTTGAAAGCAGAAATACTGAAAGTACTGAAAGTAACTGAAAGTACTGAAATGTTAGCCTTCAATAAAGTGCAAACTAGGAGACCATTTGTGAAGTACTGGATCCTTCTGAAGACTGGGTTAGAGAGTAGAGGAGAAAAACAGGAAGTACTCTACTAACTTTTATAAGGATCTTCCAAAAGTTCTTGATGAGCAGCTGCCCTATAACAGCCTGGCACAAGAGTAGAGGCTTCTTAGAGGACCTTATGACTGAGGACAATAAGTGAGACACTCTATTGAAAAGAACAGAGCACACCAAATGGGAGAGTCTGTGGTCCCTTTCCCTAGTTGGCTTTTAGTACTGTTACATTTCATCTGTTTTTGTCCATTTGTGCAACAATAGAGAAAAACCAGAGACTGGGTGGCTTAAACATCAGAAATTTATTTTTCACAGTTCTGGAGGCTTGGAAATCAAGGATGAAGAGCCCAGCTGATTCAGTTCTGGACAAGGATTGGGGTGGGGAGCAGAGAAAGAGGGGAGGGAGATTTTTACTGATCAGGTACTAATTCCATCCTGAGAGTTGTACTGTCTTGGCTTAATCCCTCCCAAATACCCCACCACCAAATACCATCACACTGAAGATTAGGCTTTCAACTTGAATTTTCTTGGAGGGCACAGACAGAACATCAGTTAACAGTCCGAAACAGAAAAGAACCTGTAGATATTGACACTTGAGGACTCGACTGAAACATCCACTTCCTTGTCTGATCATCATCTGATGCAGTGGTCAGCTGACAGTCCTGTAACTGCAGTACAAAGTTTCCTAATTTTGGTGCTTCACACAGAAAGACAAGGATTGGCAAACATAAAGAGAGTGGCCTCAACAAAAAGGGCACTTAAAGCAGACAATAAGGAAGAAGGAAACTTTATTATGATTATTTGGGATTTATTTTACTGCAGATAAGAGGAAAATATTTCATCTATAAAGTACCACTAGGTGTCATAAAGAGTAGTAGTCCAAGAGTAAAAAGAAATTCAAAATAATAGCAAAATGGAAAAAATACCCACAACAGATTAAAACTGATGATTGAGGAATCAATTCCTTTTAATAAAACTCAAAAACATTATTAATAAGATGGAAATGAAGAGAAAGAAAAACCAGAGGTATTATTCTAAAAGGCTAATATCTAATTATTAGTAACTCACATTAGAGAAGATGGAAAAGAGGAAATATTTAGAGATACACTTAAACACACACACATACACACAAATAAATACATTAACTAGAACTGAAAAATACCAGTATAGGTTGGCAGAGCACCTGAATACTGATTACAATAAATGAGTACAGAGCATATGAGGATTTTATCATGTTTTGAAAACATTTGACAGTGACTCCTGTTGTCAAATTGGGCAAATACAGAATGGATTACAGTGTGCAGGGGTTGAGAAGCCTTAAGCAAGAATTCTTTTAAATATGTAGATACTAGTCTAGGGTCTTGGTCTTTGCAGCATTTTTCTCAGTGATTTGGATGAGAATACTGGCAGCATTTTTTTTTTAAATCAAATTGAGCTGAAAATAAGAAAATAAGTTAAATTAGGTAAGAGTTTGAAGGAGAAAGATAACCGTTTCATGGTTAGTTCTGTAAGTGATAAAAGACCAAATATTTTAAAAAAGGACACTTTCTGCTTAGGAAATTCCCAAAGTTTTGGGAGCTATGAGCCAGGAACTAAAGACCAAACATCTGGACAAAAACCAAATATGTATTTCTTTTTACAAATCATAGTATCACAGAGATAAGTGAAAATCTTTTCATTGCCAAGTGAGTGTAAAGTTCACATAGGATAGGAGAAATGTAGCCTCCGGTGGGACTGGTCATTCATTGTATGACAGCAGCATGATATGATTTCCCCCAAACTAGTCCAGAGTTAGTGCCACTAGTTAAAAGTATTGTATCCAAAATAAATAAGGGTGTGTGCAGCCCTGCTGTATTTTGCTATGATTCAGTCACACCTGTAGTAGAGGTGTATATTCCACAGTTTAAGAATGACCTTGACAAGCTGGAATTTGTGCGTAAGAAGGACCTGGACTGTGAATAGACACAAACTGAGAAAGAAAAGATGTAGTGCCAGAGGAATTAACTGGAACTATCAGCATGAGAGGAATGATTTTTGATCTGGAATTTTTATTAATCCTAATTATTGTTGTTTAAGTACTTGGGAATTACTGTTTCCTCTCCCTGTAGTTCAGTGCTGAAGGGATAACAGGGATGTTTCCATGAGGTCAGAATCAGAGCAGAAATACTTCTTAGGAGCTCCATAATCCTTTCATTAATCGATAATGTTTTAACAATAATGTAGGCTATGTAGTGAGAGATTGGTGGATGGATACAATTTTTTTTTTTTGCCTTTGACACTTTACAGGCTACTTTGAAGTAACATCTTGTTGGAATTTTGAACATAGAGTGATAGTTATTTATGAGACTTTTGGATATAGGTTGATAGTGCTAATCCAACACAAAGTGTCATTAATTACAAAGAAATATTTAAGGATTTTAAAAAAGATTTTTACTTTGCATTAATTGAAATCTTTCTTCAGTCGAAGATTGATCAAGATAAACCTTTTATACTTGAAGAACACATGGACAAAATAAACAGGTACTTAAAGAGAGATCTCAATTCTGTCTATTTCTTTTGAAAGATTAAATTTAATTTGCCTATATTGCAATTTCATTGGATTTGATAATGATAGCAGTTAGTATAGTGCTTTTAGACTTACTTTGAAAGTAAGTTTTTACATATTCTTGGAGATGACTCCATTATATTTAAGTAATCTTTAATTCTGACTCACTATACTGCAAAACATCTTTTTTTTAATGAGGAAAAGGTTAGAAAATTACAAATGCATTGTTTAATCTTTGTAAAGTCCTTTGAAAGTTTTATCAAGCAGATCAGCGAAGTGTTTGTGCAGTGATTTGATAGCTTGACACAGTAGCTTAAAGAAACAAGGAAAACTATTGTAAAATAAGACAACTATTCTGCATTTTAGAAGTATCAGTTTTTCATAATTAGCATTTACTTGTATATAATATATGCAAGAAAGCAAAAGAGATAACTTAGACTTGCATTGAAGATAAACTGCACGTACTTCCCCAGAGACTCAGTGTACTAGTTCATCATCTGTAAAATAGGTTGGAAAGATTTTAATTATCCAGATGGGGTTTGGAGAAGCCTATATTTTGGTTCATTGCTGCCTTGAAAAGAAGAAATCATTTGTACATTGGTGAAATTATGTGTTTCTTTTTTTTTTATAGTTGGTTTTCAGCCAATACTATGGAAAAAATTATTGAAAATTTACAGCAAGATGGTTCATCTTTTGCCTTAGAACAATTGAAGGTAATATATGGATCATTTCTGCCCCAAGCATGATGAATTTCTGTGATGGGCAGCCCCTCTGAGAGGTGCCAGTGCTTCTTGGTAGAGACATAGGCCACTGCACTGTTCTTTGTTTGTTTCTTCTCCTGTACTCATCTGAACCCAGTATAGCTGTTCCACAAAACCTTTCCTTAAATGCAGCAGTCCTATCTGCTGGATATTGATGGCAAAGCAGCTGAACTGTTTGTAGCCCTTTGAGTGAAACAGGAGGACTTTAGTCTGCACGCTGCGCCCACAGCTGTCCTCCCTGTCCTGCGGGAGGTGTGTGTAGGGACATTTTCATTGGAAGGATTGGTTCACTAGTGTATACACCTTATTAATACATCACAGTTGTGACAGTCAAGAAGTTCTGTTCATAAAACAGATGAATATATGGTCTTTCTAAGCAGTAGTTTCAATATAAATAGGATCCTTTTAAAACTAACAAGAGGCTCCATCTGTAGCCATAGCTGATTTTTTAGCTCAGATTCTTCTCAGTGTGAGGTGTACACTTTGATCTTTCTTACAGTGTGACAGAAGAAAAGCCATTTTTATAAAAATGAGAGCACACTGGGTACTGATATTCTTGGAACTATCATATGAGTAAGAATCTTGGATTATATCAGACTTCAGAAAAAAGTGTTTCCTTAACTTACAAGAAAAGGTGCTTAAGCTTGTCTTTATCTGGTTGTATTTTTCAGTTTATAGATATAATTATAGCAGTTTTGTTTTCAGGAAACTTAATGATAAAAAGATTGAATGGAATCTTACCTGTGGTGATGAAAACATTTCCCCACTGGTAACTGTATTTTTTTTTTTAAGGTGTATGTTTTTTTAATATGCTCATTACATCATCCTTCACTTTTATACAATGTGTGATTTTCCTGTGAAATTCCCACCCCCAGTTCACTTGTGCACCATCACATAGTCCCTTGTGTTCTTCCTACTCAGGAGAAATCTTAAGCAAATATATATGCTAAGATTTTACTTAGGATTGGGCTGTTATTAACTTTCAAGGATAGGCAGATCAGCTAAACTTCCCTAACTGAGAAGTAAATTAATGTTATTACTACCTGCTTTTTGGAATGTCTGTAGGTAATTATTTATGTTTAAAGGATTTTGACTTGCAGGTTTGTTCTTTGGTGAAACTAGTATTCCACCAGTAATAGGCCCAGTAAGTGTGCACTCAGCAATTTCATTTGAAAATGGTCGTGTAGCACAGTTACAGTAAGGATAAAAAAGTGCTCAAAATCTTTGTCAGAAAAATAAAAAAAAAAAAATTAAACCATAATCAGGCTGATAGTGTCCATCCCTTAGAAGACTAAAATTAAAGTTTACAACATCAGTACTGAGTGTTGGTATGGATGTGGAGTAACCTAGAACTCAGCCCTGCTAACGAGAAAGCAACTTGACAGTTTTTTATAAATTCAAATGTACACTTACTATACGATCCAACTACACTTACTACTTAGAAATTTACTCAAGAAAAATGGTGACCGTATGTCTACAGAGATGCTTGTATTCAATTGATATAGTAACTTTATAAACTAACAGCCAAATACTGAAAGCAGCCCAACCCCTATTAAATACTAAATGGATAAACAGATTGTGACATAATTCACACAGTAGAATGTTACTCAGCTATAAGAAGAGGTAAATTACTGATCCATGAAAAAACATGAATGTTAGAAGCATTATGCCAAGTTAAAGAAAATAGAGACAAAGGACCAACTGCTGTAGATTTTATTTTTATGAGAATCTAGAAAAGTACAACTATGGGACAGAAAACACAGCTGTTGCTGGGGGGTGGAGCTAAATGGAGGGCAGCTCATTTAGGTGATGGAAGTGGACTGTGGCTGGATTGTGGGAATACTTAAAACACAGTAACAGTATACATTTATCAAAACTTTAGAACTGTGCACTTTAAAATGAATTAATTTTATATGTAAATTACCTCAGTAAAGCTAATCTTTAAAAGAAAAATAAATGACATACCAAACTATGTTTAACACTGCTTGACCTATAGAAGTCTACATTTGCTGAAGGTGCCCATTGCACTAAGGGTTTATTTCTATTAATGAAGGAAAATTCATGGCAGTGTTGATGAATACATTGTGCTTTTGGGAAAGACTACAATGAACCTTAATAGGGAAATGTATTTATGTAGTTAGTGTAGATAGAAAGATTGATCTAGTGACCCTTAAAATGTTATCATGAGCTTTAAAGATAAGCAGTAGCAGTACTTGCATCTTTAGATACTGTCTCTTCATTTTATTTAAATTATGATGCTTTTAAGTAATTACCAGATAAGTCTTAAGATTGCAAAAAGCATTCCTCTTGGATGACTGAGTTTTTTACTGTAGGTAAGAAATAGAAATACTAGTGTTCATTTCTTTAAAGAGCTATTTGGTATTTGTGTAATAAATACCTACTTTAGAGTGGAAAAAATAAATTTAAAAGTAAAAATGTTTCTGTGAAACTGCAGTATTCAGTGATGCTTCCAGTTTAGTTACTTGGTATTGTCAGTGTGAACATGTTAGAAAAGATTTGTATATACATGTACAGTATATAAAATACTTACTTAGAAAAATAGTCACAATTCATAGCAAAACCTAACCATAGTTTAAACTGGTTTTAAAAAATCAGACTTTAATAGGATATACCAGTGATGTATGCTATTTAAAAATAACAGATGATATGATTTACAGTGAACTAAATTCTGCCTTCTACTTAATTTCATTCAACCCAAAATACAAATGCAAAGAGATACTTCCCATTTGAGCCTTGACACCACACAGCTTCAGATCTTCACTGTCAGTGTAGTAAAATACCATAATGATCTATTCCACATCATGCATCTTTTCCCCACTGTCTCCTCTGTCCTTTTGCTTTACTGAGTGTCAGCTTCTAGACCATAAATTCCTGAGAAACTTGTTTACTCTTATCCGTTTAGGTAGCTATATCACAGGCCCTTTGTCTTGGTAGGTGCAATGACTGAATGAGGATAAGTGGCTGTACTGGCCTCTGAGGCACATAAAGGGAGAACTAGCACCTGGCAGGGAGTTTACAACCTGGTGGAGGAGACATATGATAAATGCAGCTAAAATAGAGGGTTGCACAAGTTACTGTGGGTGTCCAGAATATTATGGAATCCAAAAGACTTTGCAGAGGAGACATCTGAGCAGAGTCCAGAAGAAGGGAATGAGTGGTTAAGTGATACCTGCGTAGATACAGGTATAGAGTCTCGAGACAAGAACTGCAAGTTTTGTTTTTTTTTAAAGATTTCTTTCTTTGTGCATACAGAACTCGGGTACAGGCCAGAGGTGCAGGGGCGGTGAGAGGATTCACCAGAGACAGAGTGGGGAGCAGAACAGGCAGATTGATGAAGTACACTGCTGAGGGGAGCAGCGGGCGGGTCAGGAGAGGTCTGCCGTGCCATGTGGGTCACCTTCAGGGCGGGAGGGGATGGAACTCATGCTGAAGTGGCTTTAGCTTCTTAGTGCTGTGCTTTAACTTGCTGCACCACCAGGCAAGGCCTGCAAGTTGTTTTTATAATGGAAGGATTAGAAAGCTCATCTCACAGCATGTATATTTGAAATATGCTGTAGCCTTTTAGATAAAAGTAAAATACTTCCAGTTTATGCTCATCTTAGTCCTTTATATATTCCTTAGAGGCAAGGAAACAAACAATTTGTTTCTATTTATTAGCTCCTTACATTCTCATATCCTGTTCATTGTCTTTACCCTCTTAAATATCAACTCTACTTTTAGTGCATTTAAGTAAAATTTTATGAATGTATATATGAACTGTTCCATTATAGCCTTTTGGGGTTAAATCTGGCAGAACTTTCTAGAATTTTAGAGAATGTTACAAGTGGCTTTTTTTTTAATAAAGGAAAAAACCCACACAAGTTCCAATTCTTCTAATTGATGGATATTGTTTTGATTGCACCAGGCTTGTTGAGTATTGTCTTCCTCTTGATTGTGCATGTCGCGCTGTGAGTTACTGAGTGTTCTGTGGACTCCTGTGGGAAGCAGCTGTGGCAGTATCCAGAATTTAGTTGGAAATTTCTTATCAGTAAAACTCCTTAAAACAAGGATTTTTACGATTCCATCAAAAGACAGTGGTTATGATGCTGATCATGCCCTTTGAATGAGAGAACCATGTCCTGTTGTTTCCTCTCAGGAGTTTAATGCATAATAGATGCTCAATAATAATTGTCGAATTGAGATGAGAATGTTACTCATTTGATAAAAGAACAAAGAAAGTTGACTCATGTACCTACAGGAATTGGCTCATCTTTAAAGGATCAAATAAATTGTTTAGGACACTGAATGTTCTGCCAGGAAATAGAAATGCTGTGTAGGTGCTGGATTATATAAGCATATTCCTGGCATAGTTGGAGATCCGGGTTCTAGTCGCTTTCAAATTTTCAAGAACAGTCTACAGTCTCACTCCTCATTGAAGCAGGCCATGTTAGCTGTTGAACTCCCTTAGCACGTTCCCCCAGGCCTCCTCTGGTTCCTCTCACATGTGCCTCGCTTCCTTGCCAGCCACCTATGCTCTCATCCCACCTTCTGCTTCCTTTAGGAAGTGGCTGCATCAGTGGTCTCCTCCTTTATCGTTACCTTCTTGAGTGGCATGTTTTCTTCTGCCATTACTTTTAACGACTTTTCCTACCATTACCAAAAAAAATCTAACAAAAAGCAAATGTTCCCTTTATGCTGTTTTTCCTCAAGCTGCCAATTTTGTCTTACCCCTTGTCATCAAAATTATACGAACAAGTGTTCATTGACTTCCTTTAGCACTTGACACAATGTCCTCCTCCCTGTCTTTATTCCTTTTGACTTCTTTTCAGCATTTAATATTGAGAACTATTTTTATAGCCTTCAATAGTGGAAAAAGGTAGCTTGGAGTCAGCAGGCTTGGTTTCCTATGGACCCTGGACAAATTCATCTCAGAGCCTGATTTCCATTTGTAAAATGTGCCTGTGTGAAAAATACCTGCCTTATAGAGCTAAGTGACATATGTTCCCTAAATTCCTCCTCCCTCTCCCTCCCGTTTTGCTTAATTTCTGTTGCATACACCGGTGTGCTGCTATACCATTTAAGTGGTAGACAGTATTATCTCTGACTTAGAAATGAGACCAGGTCAGTCATGTAGGAGTTAGGTGGTGGAGCTACGACTGTGTGCCCGAGCCATCTGAGCCCAGGCCCTCAGCCTCTTTGCCAGTTGCCAGCTAGCCTATACGGAGGGTTGTTGGAGACGAGTTTCCTTGGGTTATCAGGAAGGACTTGATTCTTACAAGTGATGTCTGTCTTATGAAAAATCTTTAATCTTTTTAAAGATTTAATCTTTTTAGCACTTCTTAATGTATGAAAAATGGGACTTTTTGAAGTTTCTTCCTAGTTTTTTTCTGGTGTATGTGTGACATAAGCACAGATAACTGGGGCCGGGGGAACAGCCCTGAAAGTAATTAGTAGCCAACTGAGGAAGTTCAACAGGAGACAGATTTTTGTGCTTTGAGGCTTCATGATGGCATGTAAAGTGCCAAACCAAGACAGAAGGACCGAGGCAGCTCAGCGTAGCAGTGGTGCTGGCAGTGGTCGTGGCCCACTCGGAGGGCTGCTGGTGGGAAGGGGACTGTCGCTTCATTGACTTTGCAGGCTAAAGCAGTGAGAGTGGCCATGTCACTTCTGTAAGTACTCTTTTTAGCATATCATGATTTATGCCACGTGCATAGAGTTTGCTTATCCAGTTAGGGTCATGATTAACTATAAAATGTAAATTTATTATTTGAGTTATAGGTATAGAAGCAATTACTGTAATGTAGATATTAAATCAACAAAATAGTAGTCTATTTTGTAACGGATTAGAAAACTTCAGTGCTTTGAAAGGATTAGGTATAATCTTAATTTCATAAGACTTTGTCATATAGAAGACTTTGTCAAAGTGCTATTAAGGGAGATATTTTAACATGATTTATTACATAAAAACTCAATTTTTTGTAGACAATAAAGGAACCGCTTATCTAATAGTAGGAAAATAATTCTTCTCCAATAGGTCATTAACAGAATGTCTCCAACATCCCTAAAGATCACATTAAGACAACTCATGGAGGGGTCTTCGAAGACCTTGAAAGAAGTATTAACCATGGAATATCGACTGAGTCAGTATTGTATGGTAAGAATTTTTTTAAGTCATTTTCTAGTAATAAAGCAACATGCTTATTGTAAAACATGTCAAATACAGAAAATTTAAACAAGAAAAAACAATTTGTAAATCTATTCTGTAAAAATATAATAGGCCAGTTAAGGTGTGAAGGAAGTGTTGCTTCCAGATGGTAAGTCTATGAAACAGCAGTTAGATTTGCATGGCAGTGTACAAAGGCATCTGTACTCATGTGGCGTTCAAAATTGAACTGAACTGTTTCCCAGGTATTATCTTTGTGAACTGGGCAAGAACATAATAAGTTCACTAGATCTCACTTTACTAAGATGAGCTGTAAACAGCTCTGTGTATATATATATTCTCTCCATTAAATCTCACACTTTTGCTAGAAGGATAAGTACTGTTACCATCTCCACTTCACAGCTGAGGAAGCTGGCATAGAAGGTGACCTGCCAAGGCTGGGCAGCTTTTCAGTGGCAGACACGTGGCATGTGGAGCCAGGTGGCCTCTCGCCATGGCCTGCACACCTGGCTGTACCCTGGGCAGCTCACACAGTCCGTATTTCTACTGTACACTTAGTGCACTGTCTCGATCGACTGACTTCCTCTCTCAGCCAGCACATTAGCTATATGTAACAAACCAGAGAAGACCTCACCAAGATGTTAAGACCTGAAAGTAGTGAGTGATATGCTGTGCAGGTGTCTGGGGGAATGACACCCCAGGGAGAGGCCATCCAGAGCTGGTGGCAGTGTGTGTTCTTGTTCTAGGAGCCACCATTGGGTGTGGATGGAGTGGGGCGGGGCTTCTAATGAGTGAGAGAGACGAGGTCAGAGCTAACAGGGTAGGGAGAGGGGCTGTAGAGCACAAGGCCCTGACGGTCTTTATAACTTTGCCTTTTCTGAGTAAAATGGGGAAACTGGCTATGCTTGTGCAGGGTGGCACAACCTTGTATTACAGAATTGACCACTCAGGTGCTAAGCATAGAAAAGGTAATATCTAGAAAGAAATGAGCAGGCCAGATCTGAGCTCCAAGGTGGGGTAGAGGAGAAAAAGAGCAATGAAAGAAATAAAAAGGAGAAATAGGAGAGTGTGGTGCCCTGAAAGCAAGAGAGGAGCACGTCCAGGGGAGAGTGCTGAGCGGTGCTGAACATTGAAGTATTTAGTTGGTGATGATGAAAGCACTCTTAACACTGCAGCTCTGAAGTTAGGGATGATTTTGGCAAACTGTTTCAGAGGTGTATTGGGGCAGAAGTTAGTGTGGTAAACTGACTTGGAGATGAATCGAGGGTTTGTGAAGAACGGGAGAGGACATGAGGTAACTGTCTTCTTGAAGAAGGGCAGCACCTGGGAGTATGGTTCCTCTTTTTATTTTAAAGATGAAGTTACAAAGTGTGTGTATAAATGATTGGGAATGATCCAGTGTATAAAAAGGTTATGCTGATGATGCTAATAATGCTGACAGACACTAGCACTGCCTGTGAGACTCTGCCCTGGAGTGTAGTTAATTGTATGATCCATGTATTGAGATTTCATATAAGGAGATGGCACAAAGTCAGATAGTCAGTACATAGTAGAAACAGGTCATTGCAGACATTGGAACTTCATGCTTTCAAGCTACTAACTTTTCCTGCCTGTGATGCTAAAAAAGAAGCCCATTTTACTCAGAAAAGGCAAAGTTAGAAACCTCATGCTCAAGTCCTTGGCAAGGCAAGAGGGAGTGGGAATGCGCCGGAGCACTGGCCTTTGAAAGGGGGCGGCCCCCCCACAGTCAGGAATGGGGCAGGTATTTCAGAGTGGAAAGAGAGAACGTCCGATTGTCGGGTAGGAGTTCTCTTTTTAATATAGACGTAAAAGTCATTAGCTTAATACAGTGAGAGGAGCATTTACTGGGGTGGAGGTTGAGGGGATAGAAGACATTTTAAGTCATTATCTTGGGTCATGTGGGGAAGAGAATATGGATTTTGGGGTGGTTTACTTTGCCTATTTGAGATTTGTGGTCATTTCAGATGAAACCTGTCATGGTTATATGATTTTCATGCAAGAAGATCTAGCCACTTTGTTATAGGCAGAGGTAAATGGTAGTGTTCAGCTGGTGCTGGGATCTGCTTCTTTCAAGGGCTAAAGAAGGGGGAGGAAAAGCTTGAGGAACATGAGGGTATTTTCAAGAAAAAGAAACCACCAGGAAAGGGACCAGGTAAAGAGGGAGGGTGGCGAGGAAGTGGCAGGATCAGTAGAGCTTGGGGATAAAATCAGAGATTGTAGCTGTGAAGATCCTCAAGCAAACAAGGGTGGTGATCACATGTGTTACCAGATGTGGTCCAGTCTCTGGATGCCATGCTTTAGTTGTGGCCATAGAGGAGGAGACTGAAGAGGGTGGAGAGAGAAGATGAACAGGAAAAAGAATACCAGAAATTCCCTATTTAATCTTTATTTTCTTACAGGGAGGCCATGACTTTCACGAAGGCGTTAGGGCAGGTAAGTGACAAATAACTGTGTTCTTCATAAGATCTTTTGAAAAATCTGAACTGCCTACATAGCAAAAATTTGTTAACAGTGTTAGTTAAAAAGAAATTGTATTCAATTGAAATAAAATGGTACATAATTTAATACTCTTCTTTTCACCTTCAGTGGACTATTCAGTTGGTTATGGGAGCTTTTTAACCAAGGGGAAGAGATTCCTGTAGGAAAGAATGTTCAGGTTGTTTTTGTTTATACTGTTCAGGGAATGTAAAACTGCCTAACTGGCAAGGATCATAATATCAGTGTTCAGAATCACCACTGGCTTGATACTAGAATCTAGTAGGTAGGCAGCTAATCCTTTAAAAACCCCAGTATCCACATTTAATTATTCAGAAAACCTCTTACCTTTACTTCCTGGGGTAGTTTGTTTCCTTTGTTCAGACTGCTTCTTTAGTTAGTATGTTAATGCTGATTGATTTGTATAGGCTCACTGTACAGTTGGTATGTTTAACTATTTTTATTCACAAGAATTATGAACATTTTATGTATTATTGAAATCCCTTACCACAACCATATTAAGTGTAGCTCCCTCCCCACTCTTTAAAAAAAGATAATTACAGCTTCACATGCTGTTTTATGAAACCCTGCATACCCTGTATCTAGTCTCCCACCACAACCAGAAAATAGAGATCCCCTTTTAAGGAGAAGTTACAGATTGCCTCATTCTTATCACCTGTGGGGATACTATGTGACTCCTAAGTGATGACTGTACTGAAATAAGAGTAGTTTAATGATACCAGGAGGTGGTCTGGTTTTAATGTGGAACTGTGTGAACTAGAGGATTCAGCAAACAGCAGTATCCATGCTTGATCATATGTGAAGCCCCCACCCCCCACCTGAAGTAATTTCCTCCTCAAAACTAGTATTAAGGTTAGAAGGCAAATCTGGGCTGTGCACCTCCCTGTTCCCTTTAAACCACGGCAGCTCTGATGTTAGCTGTTTTGTAACATGAAACTTTCCTTTATGATTTTGTTTGAAGAAGGAACAAAAAGGAGTTCTAAGGCTTAGACCAGCTGCAGCAATTCCAGTAGGCTTTATTCAAGCTGGACACATCAAGCTTAGGTCTGGAAATGATGAAATGGATTATCATTATCTCCTAGAGGGTACATTGCTACCCAAACCCATCCAAATTCATTTTTCTTCTGAAAAATGGAACACACACAAAAATGCTAACTTTGTCAAATTTTTTTTACTCAGAGGGGGAAAATGTGCTATAGAAAAATATGCCCAGTTCCTATCAATTCAGCCATTAAAATCTAGTGACACCAGAAAGAAATGTGTAACATGTATGTTTTCTTTTCATAGTTTTAATAGATAAAGACCAGAATCCAAAATGGAAGCCAAATGATCTAAAAGAAGTTACTGATGAAGAGTTGAATAATCACTTTAAGTCTCTGGGAAGCAATGACTTGAAACTTTGAGGTGACTGAATACTTCAGGTACTGTTTTGGAGCAGGATTTGGCAAACTAGAGCACAGGGGTCAATTCTGGGTCACTGCCTGCTTTTTTATATACCCACAAACTTAAGAATGCTTTCTGCATATTTTTAATGGTTATGAAAAGAATTCAAAGACTAATGTTTCATGACATGAAAATTGTATGAAGTTCAAATATCTATCTGTAAATAAAGTCTTATTGAAACATAACTGTACTTACCTGTTTATATATTCTGTATGGCTGTTTTTAATTGCCTAGATGAAATGGAGATTGTCAGGTGTGCAAAACCCAAAATATTTATTATCTGATCCTTTCCAGAAGGTTTGCCAACCCCTGTTTTAGCAGACGGGAAAAACTGAAGGTCTAATGATTGTCACGTTTGTGTATCTAAATGGGAACTTTATTTTAGCTTTGGGTGGTAGTTTATGTTGATTAAATAAACTTACATATAAATTACTTTAAGAAAAACCCTGACTTTTTTTTTTACTTTTAATGAAGTTTCTTCACATATATTTGAAAATTGAGTCTTCACATATATTTTTAAAATAAAAACAGAAGTCTCAGGCAAAGAGGAAAAGGTTTTTATGAAGTGTTTTTCCATAATAACTCAAGCTGGGCCTTCCCTAAAGTTAACCAGAACTCCTCCCTGTTGGCAAAAGTTAAAATAATATTTGCAGTATTTGATGGATACTAATATGGTGGAATGAGTAATTAGAATTTTGACGATGGACACAATCTGCTTCCTGTAAACTTTTATATAAAGCTGTTTTTACTCAGTTCAAGTAAAGAAGGAGAAAATGAGAACTTTTGATCAAAATAGAAATCTTCAATAACTAATACAGTTAATAAGTGTTCTTTAAGGTATGCAAGAAACAGCAATGTATTCCAGACTGAGACCTTGAAGCCTAGGTAAGAAATACTTTTAAATTAACTCATTAGTTTTTTATTCACTCCTCTCCCCCATAACTAAGATTTCTTCTTATAATAATATCAGAAAATAGACTTATGTTCTGTACCTGTTTCATAGATAAGGAAGTTATAATCAAGAAGGAACTGATTTCCATTTCTCAGTTCTTAATATGTGTACCATGAAGTATTTTTCTTCCCCAAAACTGAGGAACAGATTTGGAATAAAGATGCCATAACATATTAACATTTATAATGTTAACACTTAATTTGCACTTGACTGATTCTAAAATTTGTATAAATGGAATTTTGTTCACTGTTAGAAATGCAGGAAATGTTAAATCCTTTGCTCAGAATTGACATACATCACTGAAAAGGATTTGCTTCAATTAAGAACTCATAGCTGGTCAATGGTAACTAGACTTTTTATTGTATGGTTTAAAAAACTTTTCACAAAAATATTTGGAAAATATACACCATCTCATAACTGTCTTACAGGGCAGGAATTTGCTAACAAAACTTGAGTTTCACGGAAGACACGTCCTGTCTGACTGGTGTTATGATTAAGCAATCTGTATGTATTTCTAACTTGCTGTTCCTTGACATTATTTATAAATTCTCTACTTTTTGATGTCTAAAACTGTATTGTACAAAAGTAGATTTTTCTTATCTCATAAAATGAACATACTTAAAATGCCAGTGGTAGTGAGCAAATGAGCTTCATGCTACTTCAGAGGGTTTTAAACACTAATAAGGCAGTTTGACATAAATGGTTCCTTTGAGACTAAGAACACATTATCCCTTCCAAATTGTGCTTTTAAGTGCTAATAACCACAGGTAGTTTGCAAAGAACTGATAAGGCAACTGAAAGACATCTTGATCAAAGGCCCGTAGCTGCCAGGCAAGGTACACAGGAGACACAGACGTACATCTCTGGGGCTATTTGAGTCTCTGTAAAGGAGCAATGGGCACATAGCCCCTGATAAACTGCTGCTGCCACAGTGGCCACTGTGGGTGGGTCCAGTGGCTCTTCTGCCCCTGTGCTGACTGGATGTTCAAGGGAAGAGACAGCCTGAGTGCATTTCAGTGGTAAAGACTGGAGCTTCTAGCTACAGTGGCCTTAACTTGTAAACATTTAAACTTGGTTTTTGCAGTGTATCTTCTGTGGCCACTATTCTTAATCTGTTTGTGATATAAATTAGAACTAGTGTATCCTTTTCCAGTAGCTAGTAATTTTTTGTCTTCTGCTTCATATAGTGCTTCCTTTCTTATACAGCCCTTCTCTTTCATGAATGACCTTCATAATGAAGCAAATGAAGAATTTAAGCATGAAGGTATGAAAAGGGGAATTATCCTACAGAAGATAATCCTATCAAGGCTGTGAGTCTGGGGCTTCCAATACCAAAACCCACAGATGCTTAAATTCTTCAGTATAAAATGGCATAGTACTTGCATATAGCCTTTAAATGCCTCTAAATGATCTCTAAATTACTTATAATAATACAGTATAAATGCTACCTTGTTATGATGTATTATCACAGAGTTAACTACATAGTATGTATTTTCTTTCCATGGTTGGTTAAATCCTGCATGTGGGACCTGTGGATAAAGAAGGCTGACTAAGATGTCTTGGTAACTATCACATGTGGTACAAATTTGTTTATCCTGCTTTTTGGTCCACCACTTGGTTATCCACTAACTTGCTGACTACTATATACAGTGTACGTTTCCAAGATAAGTCCCTGTGTGTCACAAGATATTCTATAAAAAGATTCAGGGGCGAGGGTGTATTGCTTGGTGACAAAATTGTCCCACCACAGAGTCAGACAGCAGAGATTAGACTTTTGGCTCGAGGTGGATCTGTTACACCTTTTGGAAACTTGGATAATTCTTGTGGGTTTCAGAGTACAGTTGTTGACATCAGAGGTAGCATTTCTGCCTGTTTATAAAGAGTTCACAAGACTTAGGTCTTAAAGGACCTATCACACATGGCAGTTAAATAATTCCCTTTCCAATTACAATGTATACAAAACTTGAAATAGTAACTACTGTTCTTTTTTTCCCCCTGTACTTTGTCTTCAGGGATGTTCAGTCTTTTGTTATACAATCATAAATCCTTTGCACAATCTGACCTCTAGGCAGTAGAGAAAAGGGGTGTGCCCATAGATCACCCCTCTAGCACTGAATTCACTTCTGCTTTTTGCCTTGCTAAGGAGGACTTCTGTTTTCTTGTAGTTATATCACTGGCCTTAATATAAACATGACATGACTTTGTAAATTGTATTCTAGTAACGTGCCTTATATAACAAGGCTGAGTCATCCAGTAACATCTGTGGTTGGTTATAATCCTGAGATTCAAGGTAAAGGTTTTGCTTTTTTTTCTACAAAAATTTACCTTAAGGACAGCAGAGTTCAAGGTGAACCTCTTCTATAGGGGTTGCTCTAATGTTTGATCACAATGGCTTGAATGTCATTCCTTTCACATGGACTCTCAAGAAAACCACTCTTCGCACATGTATAAATGGAAAGAGGTGGCTTTTTAAAAATCACGAAAGTGCCCAAGTTTCCCAGTGGTTATCTGCTACTGCCTCAGGACCTATTCTTGGCCCTTTCAATTACTAAAAACCCAAGACCAAGCAGACAGAAATGACTGTTAAACAAGTCTATATTAAGACATTTCTTTTAGGTATGCCGTCACACTCTTGATGGTATTACATTTATTCACTCCTATTTTTGCTTTAACTAGCACCAACTACATCCACAGGTCAAGAAAGTGTCACTGGCCTCCAGCATCAAGCCCATCACTCTCGATGTAAGGAATGTCATAGTACTTAATGTTATTGCTTGCCCACTGCTGCAGGGCTTCACTCAAGATTTTCTGGGACAGGCGCTGTGCGAATTCCAAGATCACAATGTCAGGCCCTGAGGGTTCCTTCACTTCTTCGACAACACCTGGAGAAGCCATCTTAGGTATAACTCTTTCTTCTGACACAAAGCTTTCTTTACTTGTTTGTCGCTTATCATTCTCAAAAGTGGTAGGAAATGGGAAAGTTTGTTTCGATTTCACGCAGCCCATCTTAGGAAGAGCTTTGAGTGACTACTTCAGCGGCATCTTTGGAAAATGACACTTTTGTCCACCTTCTATTTATCACTGTTTTCCCTCTTCCAGCCACTTCAGAAAGCAGTGTTTTTCACTACTCGCCACATGTCATGTTTATCTGTCAAGAGAAAGAAAGTTTCATTTTGAAATTAAAGAATGCAAAATACTGTATGATTTGGTAGCCTGTGGAATATTTCCTAGTACCACTGTATGATCTTATAGAAAGATGTCCACAAAAATGGTAAGTCAAAAAAACAGAAAAACATTTTTCCAAGTTCTTGAAGTATTTACAAAACCCAAAGTGGGAAACATTGCTAATTTTGATTTACTATGTACTGCCTTCTAGTCGAATTCTATCTCGCTGTTTCTGTAATCACCTATGGCTACATTCATGCTACAGGGGCAGAGCTGAATAGGAGTAGCTGTGCAATGCTGAAAATACTTGCTGACCTTTGAGCTATATGTTAAGGCAAATGCACATATTAAACTTGCTCCAGGCTCTCATTCATCACCAGGTTATGTTCACACAGACACACCACACAACACTGAGATGTGCTACAGCCAACTGTATATGGCACAGCCACCTATTGTCTACCCTGAGTTGATTTAATTAGAAATAGATTATTGGAGTCTGCCTGAACATCTTTCTTACTCTGACCTTGGATTGTCAGTGAATTGCTAGTGCTTATGGTAGGTCTGCTTATCTTCCCCAAAGCTACTGTCACTGAGTGAACTTCTACCCAGTGATGTTGTTTAATTACCCTTAATGAAGTGCAGGCAGAGTCTGTGAATGAGGCTATAAAGCCCCTGTTTAGATAAGTCCCCATTGTCCAGTTCTTACTGCTACCATTTATATCTATAACTTATACCCACTTCCTCCCATATTGTGGGAAGTAAATCCAGCTTTCAATTAACTTTTTGTGTTCCCTGTTACACATTCCAGAAATGTATCTTGAAGAAGGGATGTAATGTTTACTAAGCAGAACTCTGAAGACAAAATGTTTTTTGGCTGTGCATCTCTAACATGTAATACTTTTACAATGTATCTATTGCTAGATTTGCCCCCCAAGTTTAAACCTAGGCAGTTTGTATGTGGGTAAGTATTGTACAACCCACAGACCATGACAAAATCCTGTTTCTCTCTCTCAGGGATCTTAAGTCCTACAGTTGATCATCCTGAGATTCTGCCTAGGGCCATTATTACCATGGTGATGTTGGTCCAAACGGAGTGGCAGTTCTGCTAAGGTAAGAGGCAGAGATTGGGTTACTGAAGCAGCCAGAATTTGTAAGCATTCAAGAGAATGGGTAGCCATGGGAATAAAGGAAGAAAATTGTATGGGATCTACCTACATAAAATAGCAGGGGCTGTGGAATCCTGAGATTTCTACATCAAAAAAAAATACTAAGTCTTTGCAAAGGTGTAGAACTGCACATGGCAATCTATAGATACAGACCAGACCATACACCCTTTAAGACCCCTACAAGATAACAGCCACAAGTTAAATCTAAGTATTGAAAAGTACAGTCCAAAACACTGCCAATACCAAATGCTAGTGAGGATGTGAAGTAACTGCTGGTGAGAATGCAACTGTTAACAGTTTATAATGAATACACTCTTAACTAAAATCTGATAATTGCTAGAAGACCAACCCATTAATGTTTGTAATAATTTGATTCAAAACTTACAAGAACCAAGTTGTCCTTCAGTACGTGAATGGATAAATGACAGGACATTAGAAAACTGGAATGTTTCAGCACTAAGGAGTGAGTTACGGAATCACTGTAAATGCATACTGCTGAGGGAGCCAATCTTTCCAGCTGCATGGCACCCTGAAAGAGGTAAAACTATGGAAACAGAAACCCTGTGATTAAAGGGTTAAGTTGAGCCAACATTTTTAGTAGCGGAAGCCAGTCTCTGACATGTTATTGTTTCATTTGTCAAAATCCTGAATGTAAGCTATGGACTTTAGGTGATAATGATTACATTTACGTGCTCATTTTTTTAAATGAACTTAAAACTATTCTAAGAAAAAGTCCAACTATATGTATATGAGGCAAAGCAGAATTCAAGACCAGGAGTATTATGAGAAATAAAGAGGGACATCTATGTGATTAACAATGGCTTGAAAATGTGAAGGAAAAACTGAGAAAGGGAGAAAGATTCCAAAGGAAATATAAGAATTCAAATTGAGAAAGTACGACGATTCAACTTAATTGACACTTATATTTTCCAGTTAAAGTAAATGATTTTTTAAAAGGCCCTGATGGTGCAAGGTGCTCTCAAGCTATCAGCAGCCACTGCAGCACCAGTTCTATCCACAGCCAGGGAGCTGACCCACATACCTTGCCTGCTGCTCCCCACTGTTGCTTGTGAATCCTTTGACCTACACATTAGTGCTTGTATGGATAACTATCTCTTTAAAAAATCCAGAAAAGCACCCAAGTGCACAGATATGAACATTAGTTGAAATATTATCCTTTGTCCCATGTGTTATTTTAAAGCTAAATAGATATTAAAAGCTTTCAATAATGCATTTCAAAAAGAAAAATTAAATTAAAATTTTTTTGAAGATTTATTGTTGCATATAGGAACTGGGGTCTAGACCCAGAGGTTGGGGAGGTGAGAGGATTTACCAGAGATAGTGAGGGGGCAAGGGGACAGCAGATGAGAACAGAAGCTAGGGAGGGAAAACTATGAAATCCAGAGAAATCATGTTAAGTAGGCAGAATATTACCACAATACATATTAAGAATTATCTGCATTCAGCATCACTAGTGGAAATCCTAATCAGTTGCTAGGATAACACCGGAAATAAAGTGGGAAAGGAGTAAAACTGTCACTATTTGACCATATACATGGAAAACCCTGAATATTCCACTATTAGAAACAAAATCAATATACAAAAGTCTTTCTATATGGAAGCAACAAAGAAGAAAGCCATTAAGTGGAGTTAAGTAGCCAAGAATGCCTATGAGCTGGAAGAACATTGTTACAAATGACCATTTTACCCTATGCACACATTTGATGTTCATCAAAATCCCACTAACATTCTTCAAGGAAATGGAACAGAGGACTGAAATTTATATGGAATTAAAAACACCAAATAGCCAAAATAATCTGGGGAAACAAGGCACTGGGGACATTCCTCGACTTCAAACTACACTACAAAGCAACAGTAGAAGAGTCTAATATTGGAATGGAAACTGAAGACCCAGAAATGAAGCCACATATGTGGACAGTTAATTTACAACAGGAGTCAAGAAACATGCAGGAAAAAAAAGGACCACTATCCATATATACTTATTCAAAATGGATTTAAAAGTTTTATGTAAGATCTGTACCCATAAAATAGACTGTACTGATTTTAGAAATGTCTTTTGGGAGTCAAACTCCAGCAGCAAGCAAGCGGGTCTACATTAAAATAAACAGCGCAGCATAATAATAAACTCAGCAAAATGAAAAGATATCTTACTGAATGGAGAAAAATTAGCACATACATACTGTATGTTGAACCTGAAAATGAGGTGATGTAAAACCAATGTCAAACATTCTATTAAAAAATTTTTAAAGGCCGTTACACAGGTCCGCTCTGGTGGTGCAGGAGTTAAAGTCACATTGCTATCACCAGCCACTGTGATAAGAGTTTGATTCCTGGCTAGGGAGCTATTCCACATGGCACAGCAGACTTCTGTCTCACCTGTTCTGCTCCCCACTCTGGTGAACCCTCTCACCCTGCACTTTGGGCCTACATCCCAGCTCTGGCATGCATAATAAACAAATGTTTAAAAAATTAAATATTACTGCATAGCTTAAATACATTAAAAGACTAATGAGGGAATATTAAGAAAAACCTTTGTGCCACCAATACCAAAACTGTTGCAAGAAAAATAGGTCTGACAGCCCTATATCAAAGGAATTGCATTTGTAAAAAACCTTTCCCCCCCAAAAATTCCCAGCTACAACTGACTACACTTGAACTTAATAATCTTACCCAAATTCATTTTATATTTGAGGTCTGGATTACTTTGTTACCACAAACAATGACAATTCAAGAAAACTCTAAACCAATAGTCCTCATGCCCACAGAACCAGGTAACATTTTTTTTTTAAGTGGCTAACTTTATCCAGCATTTGTGAAATGGCTACTACACCATGACCAAGTGGGGTTTATACCAGGAATTCAAGATATGCAACGGTTTACTGTATTAACAAAGAAAAACCCAGAGGATCATCTGCATAGATGCAGAAAAGGATATGATAAAATCCTCAGCACACTCAGTAAGAGGTGCTCCCTCATGCCTGGGCCTGACAACAGCTTCTCCCTGTGATAGGAACATGGCAGTTGTACGCATCCATTTCTATTAATACTGTACCCGAGGGAAGAAATACAGAGAAGAAAGCTGACAGGAGGATATAGAAGACTGCCTTTACTTGCGATGACATGCTTAAACATAAAAATCCTAAAGCTTATATAAAATTACTGGAACTATTTTAGCAAAGCCTTAGGAAATGAAATTGATCTGTAAAACAGTAGTTGGTTTTTGTACATCACTTAATGAGTTGAAGTTAAGTTCCCTTGTAGCAGCCTGAAAAATACGATTACTTAGGGATTTTTATTTCATATATTATGCATATACATAAAAGATATGAACTGTTCCAAAGAAAATGTAAAAAACCTAAATAAACTTTCCATTATATGGAAGACTATATATATTTAACAAGTGACTTCGATCTAGGTTAAGTAACTATCAAAACTCGACAGTAACAAACCCACCAATTAAAAATGAATAAAAGATTTGTCTAGACATTTCACCTCAGACCACTAATGAGTGGCAAGTAGTATGTGAAATGTTCAACATCATTGGAACTGCTAGAGAAATGGAATGGAACCATGGTAGATAACACCTATTAGAATGGGTTAAAAAAAAAAAGCCAAATGCAGAGCAGCTAGAAATTCTGTACAATGTTAACAGGATAGCAGATTTTTACTATGGCCAAAGCTGGGAACAACCCAAATGTCCATTCCGCTTTGTGGAATACTATATGACAAAAGAAATAATGAGCTATTGATTCATGCAACAATATAGATGAACCTCAGAAATATACTGAGCAAGATACAAAAGACTTATGTAGAAGAATGGACAATGTTAACCCCACGAATAGAAATCATAACATGGGGCCTCCCTGGTGGTGCGCTGTTCAGCTGCTGCTAGCCTCTACAGCACAGGTTTGATCCCCAGCTAGTCAGCTAGAGAACTGCCCCAGATGGTGCAGCAGACCTCTCCTATCCCACCCTCTGCTCCTCTCAGCAGTGCATTGCAGTAGATCTGCTCCCCACTCTATTTCTGGTGAATCCTCTGACCTCCCAGGTCTGGTCTACACCCCATAAATGAATAAATCTTTAAAAAAGAAAAGGAGTTATAACATAATTCTTCGGAAGGGTGGAAAGGTCTACCTAGAAGGTCAGATTTTCCAGACAAATAAAATGTTCTATATCTTGATCGTTGACTGCTTGGGTATTTACATTTTTCAAAACTTGTCACACATTGCACCCTTTAACATCTGCATGTTTCACTATATGTGATAATGTATACAAAAGTTTTTTTAACATTCTGGAACACCTATAACACCTAGGAGACTAGTATACTTATACCTGAAAAAGGCTGCCTGCTTGAATCAGTCACATCAAGTTTTAAAATTCTATTTAAAGTCTAAAAGTCCAGCTCTTAAAATTCTCAAAAGCACCCAGAACATAAAACATGCGGTACCATCAGATCTGTGATAGGCATACTGACTTTTTTGTTCCTACACTGGCCTGAAATCAGCCCCAATTCAGTGTTACTTCTGGACCTACAAAAGAGCAAGATATCTCTACCCACAATTACCAGCTCAAGGACTTTCTCTTTCTTCTGGGAACTTATGCTTTGATTTGGAATAATGGCAAAAAGAAATCAATTTGAAAAGTGAATATGATATTATTTTGTCCTTATCTTCCTGAACTTGTATGGGAAAGGGGGAGGATGTATATTCTCCCAAAGAACTCAGTAGTAAATACACCATCCTCCACATCTTCTTTAGTCTGAGGCCATTTCTCCAGTCTGTAGGACCTCTGAAAATTTTTGTGCCTTCTCACTTTTAGCAGGTTTAGTCATAGTGTTGCTACAGCTGTTCGGCACTTCAGCATACTAATTTTTATTTACCACAGGCCTGGCTGTTCCCACCAGCAAAGGAAACCAACCAAGGAAACCGCAGGACAAGTAAGCATGATGCTCCCACTCTTACTTCAGGCTTTTGGAATAAGATCCTAGAAACCATTGGAATAAGATCCTAGAAACCATAAAAACTGTAACATGGTTATAACACCTGATCCAATCACAACTTATGTTAAGTGGTAAACATCCTTCCCCTTTTGAATGTATAGCGCCTCTTCTAATTCTGACTTTGAATTCTCGCCAGTGAAGACTAATATAGTTCCTTCTCCCGGTCTCTTGCTACTCTGCTGACTGTCCCAGTCCTTTACCTGGTCTCCCTCAGCAGATTCCTTATAGCTTAGAATTTCCCAGGGTGCCAGACAGAACATATCCTAGACATACCTGCCAATTTCAGCCTTCCAGTCCTATCTTGGGCTTAAAGACAAATATCCATGTCACTAGCTGATCTACTGGCCCCATAACTAATGAAATTGCTTATCCCATGCTCAGGGAAGATGCACTTGCCCTGATGGAACAGGACTGGCAAACTGCCCCACCTTTTTGTGGGTCTGATTTTAGTTCTGTGGTTTCTATCCTCTAATATACTCTTGAGATTTATCAGAAGTAGTACCATCCTTAAAGGAAAATCACAGCTAAAATGAAAATATTTATGTGGCTACTGTTCTTAGTAACTGTTTGAATATTTGATAGGCTCTGAAGGCAATTACAATCCCAACCAGTATACCACTGAATAAATAAGCTTTGCATAATTTCAGTTTCCCTCTTAAGAGTTGATTCATAGTGAGGAAAAAGCTTTCATAACATTAGCTATTAATACAAGTCAGTAGGTTAGCAGATTATGATTGGCTTTCTTAGGGTAGCATTTATGATTAGCGTTCCTGAGATAATTGTTCGGCTGCATGATTCATCCATCAGGTTGGAAGTGACTACGTCTATGAGTTGAAGGCAACATAAATTCTTGATATTACCAAGAGAAGTACTTTGACTCTTGTTATTTTTAGTCAGCTGATTTTAAGAATATAAAATATTTAAAAATAATTTTCAAAAATGTTGAAAATTTTTTGTATTTTTATATATAATTTTAAAATACACAGGGTTATGAGTGAGAACATTCCTTACTTTGTCAGGTTTTATTGAGTTTCTATTTGTATTTAGAACTAATGTCCAGCAATGTAACTGCCTTCAAAATTAAGAGAATACATTCAAATGAAGACAGTGACTATGAGTGAGATGACAAGCTCTTAGTACTGCGAGTTGTGTAATATCTTGAAATCTCCTTTGTTTTATTCTTTCCCTAAGGGTGAAGTGGCCATTGTTCAGTTTCCAGCCAAAGGTTGTTCTTAAATACAAGAGTACACAGTTCTTATTATATTGTACTATTTTATATACTTACTCTGAAACTTTAAACAAACTTCAAAGATGTTTGAGAGCTGAAATTATGAAGGTCCCTTGCCCTGAATTAATGCAAATCTATATAATGAAAACCACACGATACTCTTTTTTTAAAAAGCCTTATGTGTGTGTGTGTATATATATATATAGTATCTTTTGAATCTCAATGCAGATGTAATTAATAAAGATGCCAATTCATTTAAAAATATAACTTCCTAATAGCACATTGGTCATTACCTGTTCTCTAATAATAGATAAGAGTCTACTTTCTTGTAGGGCGCTGTGATAACTGGATGCTAAACAGAAGTCATACTCTAAATTCGTAACAGGATCAAAAGATGTCCGTTAAACTGGTAAACAGGAAAGAATTCAAATGTAATGCTCTCTACAAAAAGTGAAAGCTAGAAAACACACTAACTATGACTGATCAGTGTGAAGGCCCCTCATCGCATTACTGCACCGTCTTTGGACATGGCCTTCATCCTCCCACGGAACACATACAGTAGGCAGCTGCTCTCAACGTGGACTCTTGGACAACTCCTTGTGAAGTCTCTGTTGGGCCAGATTTTCTCAAGAGAGGCAGAGAATTTCACTTTACAATGAAAGGACATTGTTTGAGGTTCTAATAACCAGCATGGAGCTGTATGTTATGATCTCATCTGTAAGTAGGAAATTATCTTAGACATTCCTCACAAAAATTAAAGTGAGCTTGTTTATATAAACATCTAGAACTATCTTGGACCATTGAAAGGAGTTCAGTATTTCTTTTCCTTCTCTTAGATTTCCCTCTGAACCTCTGAATGTTGAGTTGATTAAGTTATTTAATTATAATTATTATATGTAAGCTTATTGAGGAATTCTAGTTTGAATTACAATGTAGTAAGATCAACAGTTATTTAGGATTTAGAATCAGGTGATAGATCTAAGTGAGGTGTAAATGCCTCATCTCAGGTGGAGAAGAAAAACAAGCATTTCCCTCCACGTTGGGGTTTTACTCAGGGAACCTCTCTGGCTTCACCTGATCACTCTGTTTATGAATACTGAACTTCAGATTGCATTATTCTTCAGTGCTGTAATATAAATCCTTGCAATAAATGAACACCAGTTTCTGACTGACTAGTTAGGGGAAAAAAATTGAAAAAAAAAAAAAAAAAGATCTATACCATAAAGCCTGTAAAACATGTAAACCTTACACTCATTTTTTGGGCATGTCATGTCTTAGTCAAATGATGCAACTACACTCATGGATAAATTATGCTTAAGGTCCCTAAAATTTTGAAGCCAGTTCCTTAGGCTACTGTTACAGCTGGACTTTTCTCTATATCTTATAGTTGAAACCAACAATCTAAACTTGAATAAGAGTATGAATTAAAAAAAAAATACAAAAGTACTCAGTTCTCAACGCATTGCAACCTAAATACTGTGACCCAATCTTCCTTAAATACTAAGCCAAAATTTACTTCATAGGCTCCTATCTCACATTCTTTTAAAAGGACTTTCTAATCTTTTTTTTTTTTTTAACAGAAAGGAATTATTTTTCCTCACTCACAAAATACATCAATGTGTAACTTAAGCATCCTGCCAGAGGAAGCATGTGGCTTTGATAACATTGTATCAGAGACCAATGGCACTGCCAGTTCTAAGACCTACATGTTTTCTGGTTCTGGTTCCAGAGATCTTGCTGCTTTGTCACAGTGCTTCTCTTTCAGATTTCATGACATGTGTTAATGCAAATAAATGACCTAATTATGGAACAATTTCATCAATATTGGAACAATATTACTTATGCAAAAGTATTGTTAACCTTGTGAGAATGACCTGTTCGCATCAGAAACGTGTAGTTGAGGATGTGGGGAAAAAGCAACCCTCCTACACTGTTGTGGGAATGTAGACTAGTGCATGTCTATGGAAAACAGTATGGAGATTTCTCAAAATACTCACAAATGTATCTACTAAGTGACAGCAATTCCACTCCTAGGCATGTGCTCCCAGAATGCAAATTCTAATTTGAAGGGAGATACACACTCCTATGGTCACTGCAACACCCTTTACTAAAGCCAAGACAAGGTGGCCTCCCTGCTAGCACAAAGGGGTAAGTCTCAGTTTTATGAAGCTCTCTACAGCCCCTGCAGCACAATGAGTTTGATCATCAGCCAGAGAGATCAAGCCCACCCACATGGTGCAGCAGACCTCTCCTGCCTTGTCTACTGCTCCCTTCCGCAGTGTATTTTAGTCAGTCGGACTGTTCTGCTCCCCACTCTGTCTCTGGTGAGTCCTCTCACCACACACCCCCATCACAAAACCCGCCCCCACCATACACACACCTCTGGCTTATACCCCAGCTCTTGTATGCATAAATAAGGTAAATTTTTTTAAGCCAATATAAGGGCACAACTTATATGCCTATCTATAGATCAGTAGGTTATGATGTTTACATAGACAATGGGTTACTATTCAGCTATTAAAAGATAAACTCCTGCCATCTGTAACAACATAGATGGAACTAGAGGGAATGGTAAGCAAAATAATTCAGAAGAAAAAAGACAAATTGTGGATGATTTCACTCATGTGGAATAAAAAACAAAACAGAGGAATAGACAGACAAAACAAAACAAACCCTTGAAATCTAACAGTCAAACTGAGGCTACCAGAGAGGGAATATAGGGTGGGTACAAGCAAAAAGGGCAAGGTCTGTTGACGCTGGCAGAAGATTACTGGTGCTTTGGTGGTGAATGCAGGATGAGAATACACTTTGTAGAAGTGTAATCTCTACCCCTGAAACACAGGTCATAAATCAGTATTACCTTAATAAAAGTAAAAATGATGAGGTTTTTAAAAAAAGAACTGTTAAATAGATGGAATGAGCACTATCAAGAACAGATGTTAGTGTGTAAATTGGTTCAGTCATTCATGTAAAGCTCTAACCCAATACCCCACCTTCTAGGAATCTACCCTAAAGAAATGATCAGCATAGCTGACATTGAAATTCATAAACTTCTCTTTTATAAGATGAAGGACTGAAAAAAACCTACATATCCAACAAAAGAGGTTTGTTATATGTCTATATCCTGGAATATTATGGAACTGTTAAGTAATTATGGTAGATGTTGGCCTTCAGTAATCCCTGCCTCCTGGATGGAGTTCCACCCCTTATTTAATCCCTTACTCTTAAGTAGAAGTAAGAGAATAAAGCAAGGATGATGGGATGTCACTTTCAAAATCAGGTTTCAAAGAGACTAACTTCTGTCGTGTACTACCTTCTCTAACTTTGTCACAAGATAGCTGCTGTAGAGAGAGGCCCATGAGGCAAGGAATTGCGAGCTTTGCACAATGTCCAAGGAACTGGACTATCCCCCAGTTAAGCTTTCAGGTAAGATCACAGCCCTGACTGCTTGAGTATGAGGGGCACTGAGCAAAGGCATTCAGCTAAACTTTGTCAGGAGCCCCACCTAAAGGGATTGTCCATTAAATACACTTGTTATTTGAAACCACTAAATTATATAGTTCACGATACAAAAATGTTTAAAAAGAATATTAATGAAAAGAATAAGAATATTTACTAAAACAAGGAAATGCTCATGTCTTTTAAATTACTGAACAAATGGTTTAATTAACCATAGCAAAAAAAACCCAAAAACGTGCCTTTAGTAAAAGCATTGCTTAAAGATATGTATTGTACTCACATATTTATTGTATGAACAATTCCCCACAACACTTGAAATATTTTAAGACTGTTATGTCTTCCTTGTAATACTGTGTAATATAACTTAGAATGAAATTACCATTAGCTAAATAAGTGATACCAAACTCTGAAAATACTAGTCTTCCTCCTACTCTACAGTAAAAACTTTAAAAGTTCAATCAAGTTTTTACAGCTGATACTGTGAATTTTTAAAAACTAGAAAGCTATACTATATATGCAGTGATTCCATTTTTAAATATATACTAGAAAGTTAAAGTTATACAATTATAATTATCAAAAATCATTCTGCTTCAAACCTAGATGTAATGCTAACCTATTTTAGGAGGAGACAAAAGCACTGGCTGTCACTGTCTATGTGATAGCACTCAATTAGCAAATAAAAATGTTCAAATAGGGCTACGTAGTTTAGGGAAAAGAAAAATAAGTAGCTGCCATCCTGAGTCAAGTGAGGAGGTTAAGCTAATGCAGGAGGCCTTTGGGATAAGTCTGTGAGGGGATAGGGCTGATGCCCTCCAGCGCACGGGTTCCAAAAGATCAGCGCAATGGACTGTCAAAAAGCTGGGCAACTCCTCTGTCTTCCTAAACTCACTGCTTACCATCAGTGATTTCCCTGAATCATCTTGAATCTTATATTCTAGCATTTGCCAACACTGAGGATAGTTTCAGTTGTTTTCAAATATGCCATGTACAGAATGCTTTTTACTAAATCTGAAATTAGTAGGAAAGGCAAAGGTTTAGATTTTAGGGTCTGATAACTTTAGTGTTTGTCAAGACATTTCTACTGAGTGTAGACTGGCAGTTCATCCAAAACCCTGACCAAGGTTCTTTCAAACAATGACCCCTTCACACTTCTAAGGCTCCACAAAACAAAATGACGTTATATGCAAAAATCAGTGTATAAAGTCTCTATTTCTCATAGGATTTTCTGTGAACTTCACTGAGCCTACGGAGAGAAAAATATCATACCCAACAAATTTATGTCATTGAGAGGTGAGAAAAGCCAGAAAACCAACAGATTCTGCAGGGAGTTAAACGGCTTCTGAGTAGGTAGAATCAGAGAGCTCTAATCACCAAAGATACCACAGGCATTTTACTTGGCTTCCCTGAGACTGTTTCTTTGTGTCCCAAATTCCTCCATGAATAGTGGTAAAGAAAAGCATAGGGCACATAAAATGTAACCGCTGTTCTGCTATAATCATTACAAGAGTATATTACTTAAACTGATAATGAAGTAGGAAGAAAAAACTAAGAGCTGATTTCTAAGGCTATGCACCCTGGTTTTGAACAATTCTCCATTTCCCCCCATACAAAGTCCAACCCAACCCACTTATAGTTCAATTGCAAAATCTTCCTCAAAGGTCATATACTCCAAAACAACAACAAAACAATCTGATCCTTAAGCTACAGATACTTGCATAACAACATTAAAATATGAATGCATTTCTTATCCCATTACAATGAAGGGGGATAGAGGATGCTTTACTCAAGCCTGAACTTTAATGGGTAGTTTCTTTTTTGGTAGTTTCTAATTCTAATAGATTGGTGCAAAACAGTACCTAAATATTAATTATTTTAGTTGACTCAGCTCTCTTAACTGACATTTTCTGAGCCACTGAATGTTCTTTACCTTAAGTGTCCTTAAAGAGTGGCACAATGGATTAAAGCCTAGCACTATGACGCTATCATAGCCACTGAAGCACGAATTCGATCCCCAGCCAGGTGACCCACATGGCTCAGCAGACCTCTCCTGACCTGCCCACTGCTCCCCTTAGCAGTGTACTTCAGTACATCTGCCTGTTCTGCTCCCCACTCTGTCTCTGGTGAATCCTTTCACCTCCTACACCTCTGGCCAGTACCCCAGTTCTGTGTGTATAAATCTTTTTTTTTTTTAAAAAGAGCTTGGGGGCCCTCCCTGGTGGCGCAGGGGGTTAAAGCACAGCGCTGAGAAGCTAAAGCCACTTCCGCATGAGTTCGATTGCCGCCTGCCCTGGGGGTGACCACATGGTGTGGCAGACCTCTCCTGACCCACCCGCTGTTCCCTTCAGCAGTATACTTTGTCGATCTACCTGTTCTGCTCCCCACTCTGTCTCTGGTGAAGCCTCTCGCCGCCCCCGAGCTTCTGGCCTGTACCCCAGTTCTGTATGTGTAAATAAATAAATCTTTCAAATATAAAATAAAAAATAAATAAATAAAGAGCTTGAAGGCGAACATTTTGCACCCCAAATGTGCTGCATTGTCATAAGGATTGTTGTGAGCTACTAGTCTCTCCTTTTTCTCCAAAAGTATGTTAGCCTTTGAAAAGGCATCTCTCCCATTTCAGGAAGAAAACTCCTAACACAACTCTTACCACTTGAGACTACTCTTATCTGCAGAACAAACCTTACTAGACCACCCTTATTTATTGTAATTTCCTGGTCACCTCCCCATAAACTACCTCCACCTGAGCCTTAACCCCCTTTACCTTTGTCTAACCTCTTCTCCAAATTGCCTCCCCATTTTTTAAGACTGTCTGCAAACCTCCAATTCTAACCATTTCCTTGAATCACATTGTTTTATAAATTCCCATATGTACATAGAAACATTTCCCCCCCTCTTAATAACCTACTACCAGTGTGATTTGCAGGCTCAGCCAATGAATTTAAAGACATTAGGTTTTTTTCCCTTCCTTATAAATTCAAGATTAAGTCTATTATGTAGGGAAACCACTTCAAGGATTTTAGAACAAGTGGGAGGCATAAATAATAAATTAAAAGAGTGTTAAGTGCTATGCATTAAATTATATTCCAGGCAGTAATATATATGTGTGTGTGTATATGTGTGTGTGTGTGTGTGTGTGTCTCAGTATTTAAAGGAACCATTATTCTTATGTGGAGACATGGGAAAGGTATCCAAATACACTTACCCTGGTTCAGAGAATCAAGAATTCAGAAAGTATTGCTTTTTAAAGTTTAAACATTCTTTCATGATCCATATACCACACTTCGAAGTAGTCATTATACCTGACCTGGTATGTCAGGGGGTTGGGGAAGGAGGTACCTTTAAT